ACATACACACACCCCTCCCCCAACCAGCCCCAGCCACCCTCCATAGCATCAGGAACAAGAAAGAGGGCAAGGGGTAACGAATCCACAAAGAAAAACGACCCTGGCACAGCTGTGCCCCACAACTACCTGCCTGCATCAAACAAATCTGCCGTACTCCGATAGCCATATCGGAGTACGACAGCGTTTTGATGCCCCACGTAAAACACATAAGAGCCCTGACCCTCCTCCCCATCTTACCTCCATTCCCGGCTGGACGTCGTCCCCATCGACCGAGGCCTGCTGCACGTGCAGCACGTGGATGGGAACATGAGAATTAGGGCAGGCACGTCAATTCGGGCAGGCACGTCAATTAGGGCAGGCACGTCAATGACGGAGGCGAAACATACACACACCCCTCCCCCAACCAGCCCCAGCCACCCTCAATAGCATCAGGAACAAGAAAGAGGGCAAGGGGTAACGAATCCACAAAGAAAAACGACCCTGGCACAGCTGTGCCCCACAACTACCTGCCTGCATCAAACAAATCTGCCGTACTCCGATAGCCATATCGGAGTACGACAGCGTTTTGATGCCCCACGTAAAACACATAAGAGCCCTGACCCTCCTCCCCATCTTACCTCCATTCCCGGCTGGACGTCGTCCCCATCGACCGAGGCCTGCTGCACGTGCAGCACGTGGATGGGAACATGAGAATTAGGGCAGGCACGTCAATTCGGGCAGGCACGTCAATTAGGGCAGGCACGTCAATGAGCGCAGAGGCGAAACATACACACACCCCTCCCCCAACCAGCCCCAGCCACCCTCAATAGCATCAGGAACAAGAAAGAGGGCAAGGGGTAACGAATCCACAAAGAAAAACGACCCTGGCACAGCTGTGCCCCACAACTACCTGCCTGCATCAAACAAATCTGCCGTACTCCGATAGCCATATCGGAGTACGACAGCGTTTTGATGCCCCACGTAAAACACATAAGAGCCCTGACCCTCCTCCCCATCTTACCTCCATTCCCGGCTGGACGTCATCCCCATCGTCCGAGGCCTGCTGCACGTGCAGCACGTGGATGGGAACATGAGAATTAGGGCAGGCACGTCAATTCGGGCAGGCACGTCAATTAGTGCAGGCACGTCAATGACGGAGGCGAAACATACACACACCCCTCCCCCAACCAGCCCCAGCCACCCTCCATAGCATCAGGAACAAGAAAGAGGGCAAGGGGTAACGAATCCACAAAGAAAAACGACCCTGGCACAGCTGTGCCCCACAACTACCTGCCTGCATCAAACAAATCTGCCGTACTCCGATAGCCATATCGGAGTACGACAGCATTTTGATGCCCCACGTAAAACACATAAGAGCCCTGACCCTCCTGCCCATCTTACCTCCATTCCCGGCTGGACGTCATCCCCATCGTCCGAGGCCTGCTGCACGTGCAGCACGTGGATGGGAACATGAGAATTAGGGCAGGCACGTCAATTCGGGCAGGCACGTCAATTAGGGCAGGCACGTCAATGACGGAGGCGAAACATACACACACCCCTCCCCCAACCAGCCCCAGCCACCCTCCATAGCATCAGGAACAAGAAAGAGGGCAAGGGGTAACGAATCCACAAAGAAAAACGACCCTGGCACAGCTGTGCCCCACAACTACCTGCCTGCATCAAACAAATCTGCCGTACTCCGATAGCCATATCGGAGTACGACAGCTTTTTAACGCCCCACATAAAACACATAAGAGCCCCGCGCCTCCCGCCCATATCACCTCTCCAAGCGATCCCAATTCCTCCTCACGGTGGCCACCCGCCTCCATTCCCGGCTGGATGTCAGCCAAGAGTAACTAAAGTTAGTTCAGCGACAGTGAGTGGCGGTGAGTTCTATTTTAACGTTGCTACAAGGCATAGTAAAATATACCACAAATCCCTTATCCCAATTGAAGCTATTCCGAATTCCTTCTCACTTGAAGCGGTTTCCTTCTCACTTGAAGCGGTTCCGCGGCCGATTAGCAACAATACTTGGCCCATATCGTGTTTGACTGAGTTGGGAGTTATGGCTACGTGCTTTGGTCTTTCGTAATGAAGATATTTGTTTGATGGAGAGGACATTGAAGCCATAATAGCCAAAGCCGTACATGAGCGGTTATGTCAGCCAATGGCTCGGAAACCTCGTCGGTCGTAATTTTGTTCAGTAAACCTGACAAG